GAGAGAGAGAGAGAGCAAAATTCGCGTTATTTAGGAATCTCGAAGACACGGAGGCGGATTAGAGTCGTCAATATAGGCAGGCCGTTAATTGTATTCATTAGATGAGACAACACGTGAGAGAGGAAAAGAGAGAAAGATAGCGTTCGAGGGTTCGAGTCGCGTCAAATAGTCCCCCGAGGGAGGCAATAGGCTCTAGATTTTCACGGAGCGCGCCAAGACGACGACTCGAGCCCTCTTAACGAAGCTGGAAGCTAAGGACGGAGTGTACACACACTCGAGGTGTTCGTACGCGGAGGAAAACGAGAGCCTCCGGCCGAACCGGGGCCGAGAGAGCGACGAGCGACGGGGAACGACGAGGGGTAGAGAGGGGCACAGGGGATGCAGAAGAGGTCCCGCGTACGGCAGGAAAGAACGAGAGAGAATCGAAGGAGGAAGGACGGTGGAAAGATGGAGGAAACCGAGAGATCGGGGATCTGAAGAAGCATAGGAAACGCGAGTGCAGTGGGACCGGTCGACGATTGTCAATACACAACCTGTACGACTTACTAGAACAATTCAGTGGAAGAAAAACCAGTCGATTTCAGGAAACGCAAACGCTTCACTGGCTGGAAGAAGTCCGTCTTTCAGAGGTAGACGACGGAAGATTTAAAATTTTGTAATTCATTTTGTTATTCCGTAAAAACCGAGAATCGCGTGAGGATCGATGGAAATGCGGGATGTTTAAAAAAAAAAAAAAAATGTATATCTTCCCTATCTTTCCATCGAGATACGTTCGGTAAGAAGCCATTCGAGAGGACTCGACGGCGCGGAGTATTTGGTAAAACCGATCGAATGAGCGAAAGCGAGCGAGGTGAGTGGAGAGTACTCAGAAAGATTGCAGCGACGCTGAAGAGTAATTACGTACATCAAGAGGGAGAGAGAGCCCCTTTTTACAGACACGTAAAAGGAACACAAAAGGCGCTCGTCGGACATTGTAATCGTTGATTACGCTGACTGTACATACGTGCGTAGGTATCCGGCACTCCATCCAATCGTAACTCATAACTTTTACGACGCTTTCATGAAGGTACCTTATTAACATTCAGCCGCACTAATTTATCCTCCGGAGAACCGACTTTTAATTGGGAGGTATCGGAGGTAACGACGTCGTACCTTCTCGTTTTGAATCGTAACGCACGTGACGATAAACAATGCGGGAGCTCGGCGGATTTTCTGACGGATCAGATTTATACATACGTATGGCACCCGATGGCATATTCGCACGCGTTAATATTAACGCTATCGGTAATAAGAAAAAAAAAAAATTAAACGAGACAGAATCCGCCGATCGATCGATGAGAGGCCAATTAGCCACGGAAAAAGACGTCGGGAAAAACGACGGATTTGTGCCCGCGAAGCGATCGCAAATTGTCAATCGTCGACGCCGTCGAGTCCTTCCTCCTTTCCTTCTCGCGGGGTAATCTTGCGGGGTAATCGCGGCGCGGTATCATCTAAGGTAATAGGGAGTATACGACCTCGTTGTCGATCACCGTCGTATTACGATGTCCGGATCGCGAGCCATCATTACACCGCCGCGTCTCTCTAAAACCTCCTATGAAACGATCCTCTCCGGTGATTATACCTTCGGGGCCAGTTCAATGCCAGTTCGTCGTACGGCCCCGTCGGGCTCCCACACGCAGAAGCGCATAATCGTCGGTCTTCTGCATCGCGTGAAATACTCTACCCGGCGAATATCTCCGCCCGGCGTGGCTAATGCGCGTGGCGCGGTCGTAAAACGCGACAGTTTTTAAAACGCGCCTTTTCACCTCGTTTAAAAGACGTCGTCCGCGTCGACGCGGAACGACGTGCGACGCGATGTCGTTGCGTCGCGATATTATTCATCCCGATAACGACCGCGTCGTTGTTAAACATAACAATCTCGGGACGTGCCGTGGGATTGAGTTTCCTCCTCTTTCGCGCGATCGTATTATTTTCCCGATTATTCGACGACATGGATTATTCTTTTTTTCTTTTGACGAAAAAAAAAAAAAAATTGGAAAAATTTCAAATTTGAAAATATTTGCTTCGAGAATGCGAAGCGGAAATCCGACGGGACGTCAGTTTTCCGCAAATCGAAATATTAGAGATAAATGGTGGTTCAATATCGTCAGATTTTAATTCTTCAACCCCCTCTTATTGATCATCCCTTGTGCAAAATTATGCCCCGAGAGAAATGATTTCTACGGAAGTGAGATCAATGACGCTTCTCGGAGCGTGCCTATTGTTCGCGACGGTCGCAAAGTGGAGCAAAGTCGAGGCATAACGGAATGATCATTTGCAAGATGAACTCCGGGCGAGTCGCGGCGAGCCGTTAAAAGGGGGGGCTCGCCTATTAATCCGCCGAGACATCGGTAAATCATTGCCGGTCCAGCGACTATCGGGCGGAAAACTTCGACTCGGTTTATTTCTCAAGTCTAGGATCGTATAACGATATCCATATAATTCTGTGTGAAACATAAATTCCTACGTCAATTGTATTCTGGAAAACAAATTAAAGGGAGCGCTCGCTTAGGATCTCTCGGACAAGAAATTCGATTATTCGAGAAACTTTTATAAACATATGTAAAAATTAAAGTTGATATATTCGACGTAATACATAATAATAATCATAAGCTAGCGTGCTTAAGAGCTAATCCTTTCTACCGCGTGCGATGTTTGTCCTCTTGAAAGCAGGAGCTTTCAAGACGAGCCGATTTTGAAGCATTCGAGAGATCTAGAAAGAGCGACATCCGAAGATTATTTAAAATTTAGAGTCACGCTCGCGAACAATGACTGAAAATGAAAGGGTTGAGCGTCCATAAAGTCGCGACCCTCTTACAACGCAGGCGAGCGATCGCGCCGATGAAAGCTTATCTTGACGGTCGCTTTTGTAGCGGAGTATCGGACCGCCACCGTACACCGTCATCGCGTATACTATATCGACCGGTCGTTAACGAGATCCTGTTACGACGGTTGACAGTTGTCCGAACACGCGTTTCGATTCGCACGTCGTTCGCATGAGTTTCTCTCAACAAGAGAACCTCGTTACAATTTGCGTTGCAAAGAGACCGAATTTCGTCGCGTTGAACTCGCGACGAAATGCAAAAGTTGATCGCTGATTTTTGGAATCGCATAATCGCATCCTAAATTACTTCCATTTCGATTATATATATATTTTTTTAAATCGCGTCATATTCAGAATAATTGCGAATGAGATTTTAAAGCTTATGTTTTAATTGCCTGTGTGTAACAACGCGTACAAAGAAAAATTTACATTTACGATAGGGAAAAAAAAAAAAAATACATCAAGAACTTTTGTGCTCTGACTGCGGAATATTTATTATCTTCAGAATAATAATCGTGCGGCGCTCGTCACGACGAATTGTCCATTATACAAACTCGCCGGGGTGACCCACGGCGAGTTGCCGTTTAATTGAATAATTACTCACCGGAACGGAGAGCAAGCCGTAGTCGTTAAGTACCAGAGATAATTGCGGTCCGGCTCGACTCGCCGGGATAATCCTCGCTCGTTCTTCCGCAATAATACCGATCGCGATGCGAATCGATCTTGCCTCCTCCTTATCGAAGATCACCGAGCGGACAGGTCCCCGTCCCTTGAATCGTGAATAGTCCTTCGGACTGGAACGTTCCTCTCCTTCCACGCGCGACTCGACTCCACGCTGTTTCACGTCTCATTCTGCGGTCCATAACATCCATTGGCTCGCATAATTAGTCCGCCCGGTCCACGCGAAAGATCAGGCCGAGGATGGAGCGGGCACTCGTGGCTCGAGTTAGTATTGTAGTAGCAGCGATCCTTTCCCGGCGCGGCGCGGCGCGGCGCGGCGCGGCGCGGCGTGGCGCGGCGTGGCGGAGAACGCGCTGGAAGAGCGAGATTTCTTCTCGGAGCGAAACCTGATCGCCCGGGCGAGCTGCTCGCGCGATTGCGATCTTGACGGAATAATTTCCGCCGAACTCTCTCGCCGCCTCTCGAGTCGCGCCGTTCGGCGCGACCAGTCCCGCGAGATCCAATCCCGCCGTTGATCCCTCGCTCTCTAACGATAGGACGTCCCTCGAGACGCAGAATGAGACGTCGATGATTCGCGATCGCACCTCCGATCTTTAATCGCGCGTCGCATTAATTGTCGCGCTTCGTCGAATGTCGACGTTGGAACTTATATCTCGCCTGCGTTCCGCACGGATGCGCCCGCGGACGGTTGTT